AATAAGTGTCCTTTCAGTACCTAGAAACTTCAGAAGAGCAGCAGAGGAATCATCTTTTACTTTATATGTAGACTTAACTATTCAACCTTTGTTTCAATCTTACCCACTTTGGAGGGAAAAAGATGCAAACTAAAATTTACTATTGGGAGCCTACCAAAATACTTATAAAGATATTTTCAAAGGGCCACAAACAATATTTACCAGAATGTGAGTTCTAACAGTATTGTCTGCCTCTAGTTAGACCCTCTCTATTGCTAGAGGTACATAACTTTGATTCTCTTTGGCATTACTTTGAAATGTTGTGGGTATTCTGATTCTATTTGGGATCATATAATAGTCATATATGTTTGTTTAGTTTTTTATTCATTTACATATTTAGGTTAAGGTCCCCCCCATAAGAGATGGAATTTAGAGCTTTGTGCATGCCAAACATATGCTTCATCACTGAGCTACACCCCCGACCCCAATAATTTTTTTTAAAGAATAGTTAGTTGCTTTAATTTTAAAAGGCTTTAAAAGGTTTTTCTTGTTTATACAGGAAGATTTCCATTCCAGGATATATCTTTAAATTTTTTTTATTTGTACATAGAATTGTTCCCTAACCCTATTTTCTTGGTTTTTAATCTGAGTAAAATAAATATTCTGTTTCCATTTCTGTTCCAGATTAGGTACTAACCTTAGACTTTCTGGGGCCTTCAACTAGAACTTTTGGACAAAGCTTTGTATAGGCAACTATATATTTTTGACACAAAAGTTCTTTGTTTATTTAATTTTTTTTCCTTTATTTTAGATATTTAGACAGCTACCTTGTTTCCCTAACAAAAGAGCATTATCAGAGTTCATACAATTAGCTCATCCTTTACACCATAAGAATTTTACAGTTCTAAGTGTTTATGGCTACAGCCTATCCTGACATTCCTGTTCCCCTCAGAACTACCAGATTAAAAATACAAAAGTAAACAACAACAACAAAAAACCCCACAAAAGTAGCCAGGTATGGTGGTGCACACCTGTAATCCCAGTAGCTTGGTAAACTGAGGCAGAAGGACTGGAAGTTTAAAGCCAGCCTCAACAATTTAGTGAGGCCCTGAGCAACTTAGACCCTGTTTCTAAATAAACTATAGAAAAGGGCTGGGGATATAGCTCATTGGTTAAGTGCCCCCTTGGTTCAATCCCCAGTACGAAAGAGATAAAAAAAAGAAAAGAAAAGGCTATTTCCACTTTTTACCGGGGGAGATACATATCACTGCATTTTATAGATTTACCATTCATTTAAACTCTGGTTTTGGGGGGGTTTGTTTGTTTTATGCTTTTGGTAATGGAGTTTAAGCCAGGGCACTTTACCACTGAACTACATCCCCAACCCTTTTTGTTTTATATTTTGAGACAAAGGTTCATTAAATTGCTGAGGCTGGCCTCAAACTTGGGATCCTCTTGCTTTGGTCTCCTGAGTATTTGAGATTACAGGTGTGTGCCACCACAGCTGGCCTTCTAAGTATTTTTCTTAACTTGAAGAGAAAGTCATTTTGTTTCAATGCTGGATTCTTCAAGTAAGCTTCTTTGTTATATTTTGTGGTACTGGGGATGGAAGCCAGGGCCTTGCACATTCTAGATGTTCTCTGTCTCTGAGCTACAGTCCTAACTTTCAGATAAGCTTCTTGAATGGTGCCAAAAATTGCAGTTCAAGATGGCCTTGTGCTGGCTATGCAGTCAAGGATTACGCAAGAAATGTTGATCTTGCAGTGTGCAGCACTCCATTTGGTCTTCCTGGACTTTCTTATGGTGTTCTCTGAAACTTCATCTTTTCCCCTTTTTCTGGCAGTTCTTGTATTGGGTTCTGGGTTTTTGGGTTTTTTTTTTTTTTTTTTTGGTACTGGGGATTGAACCCAGGACACTTAATCCCTGAGCCACATCCCTAGCACTTTTTAATATTTTATTTAGAGACAGGGTCTCGCTGAATTGCTTAGGGCCCCGCTAAATTGCTGAGGCTGGCTTTGAACTCTGAGATCATTCTGCCTCAGCCTTCCGAACCACTGGGATTATGGGCATGCATTACTGGGTCCGGCTGGTTCTGGTAATTTTGTTGTTTTATTTTTTAAAATAGCAGGGGTATGTGTGTATGGTGGGGGCGGGGGGGGGGGGGCGGCGCACGCATCCTTTCCTGATCCTTAAAGATTTTCTCCAGTTTGTTTTGTTTTGCCATCAAAAACTTCAGGCATGTGTTTCCCTTAGATAGCGTCCTTTCTCATCAGCATGGAATTTGTCTGTTAATCTGCTCTGTCCTTGCTACTGCTGAGGAGGCCCAAATGTGTGCTTGATACCTTGCTGTCTTGTTACAGCTTCCTGAGGATAAGATCACCCCACCCTTTCATGGTCAGTATCCTCCCTGGCCCCTCCCCACCAATGCTTTAAGGTCCCCCAGGCAAGGTAGAAGTAGTGAGCTACCCTTTTCCAGTTTCCTGTCATACCACTATGTTCCTCTTCCCCCAAATTCCCATCCCTTCTCTAGTTCTTATCTTCTGTTTATACTCCTAAGTCAAGATGCAGTTCTTGCCAGGGCCCCAGCTCCTTTACTCTGCCATCCTCAAGCAAGAGAAAAGCTATTTTTGCAGTTTCACCAAGTACCTGAAGGGGACCTTGGTCTCCAGCCAGCCAAAGTGTTAAGGTGCCCAGCAAGATTGTTCCCTTGTTTCCACAGGTGCTATTGCTAAGCTTGGAGTAGGCAGTGTGTCTTGGGGGAGGCGGGTGACAGAATTAGACCCTTTTCGGCATTCTTCAAGGGAGCTGCCTCCCCAGCTTTTCCTTTAGCATTTTTGTAGACAGGTGGTTCCTCCTCTCACAGTAAATTCCTGGATATTTTTACCAACCACTCCAAAAACAAAATGACAATGTTATTGGAAATGTCATACAACCAGGCAGATGAGTAATTGTTCCCATTTATCAGTTTGCCAAAGAAAACAGGTTGCCATCTAAGCTTGTTTGCAGAGATGTTAGCTATGTGATGGAAGAAAAACTCAAGCATCTGCTTTCAAGTAGGCTGTCAAGATTTAAATGATATATACTTAGTGTTTTGGTGTGTTTTAAAGTTAACCTTTCCCTACCCAAGACTGCACAAACTGAGAGTCAGCCTCAATGAATTGTTACAGGCATCTCACTGTAACGCCAGGGGTAGTGCCTATCACACTGGGACAGAGTAGAGAATATATGGAATCCGAGAGAGATGCAAGCTTCACCAGATTTGTCAGTATATAAAGAAAAGTCATACTATAACCTGGCATGGTAGCACACAACTGTAATCCCAGCAACTTGGGAGGCTGAGGCAGGAGGATTGCAAGTTCGAGACCAACCTCGGCAACTTAGGGAGGCCCTAAGCAACCTAGCAAGACCCTGTCTCTAAATAAAACATAAGAAAAGGGCCAGAGATATGGCTCAGAGGTTAAGCAACCCTGGGTTCAATCTTCAGTACCAAAAAAGAAAAAAGAAAAATCATACTACAAAGAAGTCCTGCAGCTGTGGTATGATTGATACATTCTTTTACCCATCCACTCATTTATGAACTGTATCCAACAGGTCCTTCTTGCCAGGCACTGTATTATATACTAGAGATAGAAAGATCAGACAGGGTGTCTACTCTTAAGGAGTTTGCACACTAGTAGGGATTTATTTACATTCTCTTCCATTTTTGTAAATGAATACATAATGAATAACTGCATGATAGTGTGCTAAGTGTGATAATATAATACTCATAAAATTAAATATAGAGAGGAACTAGGGAAAGTTTCTTGAAAGGTTGATTTCTGAATTAGGTCTCAAAGGATGAGCACAAGTAGGCAAGAACAGAAATATTTGCAAAGGCATAGTGATATGAAATAATAGTGAGGAACTGCAGATAATTAGGTTCGGGTATAATATAGGTATCTCAGGGGATGAGAGCAATGTCAAGAACTAAGGCTAACTAAGTAGACAGGTAATAGATGAAACATGTTGAATGCCAAAAAGAGTGGACTTAATTTGAATGTGCTTGGGAGCCACTAAGGGTTTAACCAGAAGAGTGACAATTAAATCTGGGGGGACTTAACTCTTTCACATGCAGTTGGCATTTCCTGTTACTTCTTTTTTTTAAAAAAATATACATACATATATATATTGAAATATATATATTTAGTTGTATATTGTGGTGAGCCGTGTTTGTAGACCGTTGCCGCCATTAGAAGATGGCACCGGTCTCCGTTGTGGATCTTGGTAAACAACTCCTTATTAGGGAAAGTTGGTGCGCTGTCCCTCAACACCCTATGAGAAAACCCCGCGTGGCAGCTTTGGATTGGACTTGAGTAAGCTTTATTAGGCTATGCTTGGGCGCTCGGCGGGGGGTCACTAGAAGATGATACATGAAACAAGGCCTGAATAAACTGCTGAAAGAAGAATCCTGTGTCGTGTTTTCCCTTGCCGGCGAGGGGTCGCGACAGTATATATTTATATATATTATATATGTTTATATATTGTATATAGTTATATATATTTAGTTGTAGTTGGACATAATGCCTTTATTTTATTTATGTGATGCTGAGCATCGAACCCAGAGCCTCATACATGCTAGGCGAGCACTCTATTGCTGGGTGACAACCCCAGCCCCTTCTTGTTATTTCTTATTTTGTTTTAGAATATTTGATTACACTAGATTATATTGTATTTGTAACATATGTTATGTGATAGCACGGTATACCAAATTAAATATTATAGCATAAAGGCCTGGCACATACTAAGAGTACTCACAGTATCTGATGACTGAACAAAAATGCTGACATAAGTCTCTCACCTTTGGTGAGATGTTGGTGGTACTCAGGGACCACAGGCCAAATATCCTGACTTTTTTTCTCTTCAGACTCTTTTTCATACATAAGCAACAAGTGATAAAAGAACTGTTGGGATGTTACATAAATATGTAGATACAGCTACGGGGCTGCCTAATATATATTCCAGAAAATTTTTTAACCCCCTCCTTCACCCAAAATTTTAATTTGATCTATTGTAATATTGTTGGGAAAGGATACAAACTCTTAAAATGTTAGTAAGACATGGAATTTATTATAGATAAGTATTTGATTATATGTCTTTCTTGTTATTGGTCAACTATATCCATTTGGCAAGGTGAGTGACATCTGTAATGGATATATATGACTAGACTAAAACTTCTCCATGCTTTTCATTTTCCCATGCTAAGTCTCAAGAAAGTGGCTAAGAAATGATAGACACTATTTAGAGTTGAACAAATATTATTTAAGAAAGGTAAAAGTTTTAAAAAAGAAAACTTTCATTAACTATCTTTTTTGTTTGCAAAAAAAAGGTAGCTTTTTATTTCAAAAGTAGTATACGCATGGCAAAAAGTTGAAACAGTAAAGAAGGTTATAAAGTAAAAATATAAACCCTCTTCTGCCTCTGTCTGACATACTCTCCAGAGTTTTATTCTCTTAGAAATGTTCTATGCACTACAAGGAATACAGGCATTTCCCTTTCATTTTAACACAAACGGCATTATACTATTATGATTTGGATATGAGGTGCTTCCCCTATGTTAATGCAGAAAGTGAAATCTCCAGGATATATAAAGAACTAAAAAAAAAATACCAAAAAACCCCCCCAAAAACAAAAAACAAGCAACCCAATCAATAAATGGGCTAAGGAGCTTAACAGACACTTCTCAGAAGACGATATACAATCGATCAACAAATATATGAAAAAATGTTGTTCAACATCTAAGTAATTAGAGAAACGCAAGTCAAAACTACTCTAAGATTTCATCTCACACCGATCAGAATGGCAGTTATCAAGAATATAAATAAGAATTAGTGTTGGTGAGAATGTGGGGGAAAAGGCACACTCATACATTGCTGGTGAGACTGCAAATTGGTGCAACCACTCTGGAAAACAGTATGGATATTCCTTAGAAAATCTGGAATGGAACCACCATTTGATCCAGCTATCCCATTCCTCAGTCTATACCCAAAGGACTTAAAATAAACATACTATAGTAAAGCAGCCACATCAATGTTCATAGCAGCTCAATTCACAATAGCCAAATTGTGGAAGCAACTTAGATGCCCTTCAATAGATGAATGGATAAAGAAACTGTGGTATAAAAACACAATGGAATATTACTGAGCATTAAAATAGAATAAAATTGAGCTGGGGATGTGGCTCAAGTGGTAACATGCTCGCCAGGCATGCGCGGGGCGCTGGGTTCCATCCTCAGCACCACATAAAAATAAAATAAAGATGTTGTGTCCACCAAAAACTGAAAAATAAATATTAAAAAATTCTCTCTCTCTCTTCTCTCTCTCTATATATATCTTTTAAAAAATAGAATAAAATTATTGCATTTGCAGGTAAATGGATGGAGTTGGAGAACATCATGCTAAGTGAAGTAAGCCAATTCCAAAGAACCAAAAACCGAATGTTCTTTCAGATAAGTAAGTGGATGCTGGTCCATGATGGGGGGAGGGGTATGGGAAGAATGGAGAAACTTTGATTAGGCAAAGGGGAGAAAGGGGAGGAGGGAGCATGGGGGCTAGAAAGATGGTGGAATGAGATGGACATCATTACCCTGGGTACCTGTATGACTACACATATGGTGGGATGCTACATCTTGCACAACCAGAGAAATGAAAAGTTGTGCTGCAATTGTGTACAATGAATCAAAATGCATTCTGCTGTCATATATACCTAATTAGAATAAATAAATACTTTGTTTTAAAAATGCAGGAGGTGAAATGACTGGATTGTGAGAGCTGTAACCTAATTAGTACGTCCTAGTTTGAATGGGCCGACTGGGTGGTAACTGTAGGCAGGTGGGGAGTGGCTAACAGAAGTGGGTCACTGTGGGCTGCTCTGGAAGGGTGCATCTTCCCTGTGGTCCCTCCCTTTCCTCTCTTTCCTGGCTGCAGCTGCTGGCTTTTCTGAAAAGCCCTTCCACCATGATGTTCTTCCTCACTTTGGGTCCAAACCTCTGAAACTGTAAGCTTCAAATAAACTTTTCTTCTTCTACTTTGTTCTTGTCAAGCATTTTGGTCACAGCAATGAAAAGCTGACTAACATATGTATACATTCTAATTTTTAAATTAACAATATATCTTGGATATTATTCTATAACATCCCATAAAACACTCTTTCCTCCACTGATGTTTTTCTTTCTTTTGGAATTTACTTCTTCCTATAAGGCACAGTGGCATGTACTTGTAGTCTCAGCTACTTGGGAAGTTGAGGCAGGAAGATCACTTGAGCCTGGAAGGCTAGTCTGGGCAACACAGCAAGATCCTGTCACAAACAAACAAACAAACAACTGACAGAAATTACTTCTTATTTACTTTTTATTTTTATTAAACAGTGCAGAAATACACAACCTTGATTATACATCTTTATGTTCTTTTGTGAATTTAGATAGATTCCTAGAAGAACCTATAGATTAAAAATACAGCATATCAATGTATTTTAAATTTTTATAAATATTGCCAAGTTTTCCTCCAAAAACATTAAGTATACATACTTCCACCAGTATTTGCACATTTCCCCACATGCTAGTCACTGTGATGAATAGCTTGGATCTGGAATAGTTCCCAAGGCCAGTGTGTGGAAAGGCTTGGTCCCCAGCTCCTTGCACTATTGGGAGGTAGTGGAACCTTTAGGAAGTAGGGTCTGGTATGAGGTCACTAGAGGCATTCCTTTGAAGAGGATATTGGGAATATCCTCTGTGGCCCCTTTCTGTTTCTCTCTTTGCTTCCCAGCTGCCATGATAGAAATGGGTCTCTTCTGCCACATGCTCCCACAGTGATGTGCTGAGCTGCCACAGGCCCAGAGCAACAGGGCCAAGCAAACATGGACTGAAACCTCTGAAATAACGAGCCAAAATAAACCTTTTCTTCTTATGAGTTGATTATTTCAGGTGTTTTGTCACAATGACAGAAAGCTAACACAAGGTGTTTTATTATTATACTTTCAAAACTTTGCAATTTTGTGGGTTAAAAATAGTAACTAGCTGGGTGCACTGGAGCATGCCCCAACAACTCAGAGGCTGAGGCAGGAGGATCACAAATTCAGGCTAGCTTAATCAACTTTGAGATCCTGTCTCAAAATTTGAAAAAAAAAAAAGGTGTTGGGGGGAGGCTAGGGATTTGGCTCAGTGATAAAGCCTCCCTGAGTAACAAGAACAAAAAAGTAACTCATTGATATTTTAATTTGCATTTGTTGAGTCAGCAATAAGATTGGATATTATTTTGTGGTTGTGATGGGTGCATTCATATTTCTTTGCTTACTCCTTTATGAATAATTGGTCTTTATAGATTTCTGAAAGCTCCATCTATATATACTACAGGAATTAGAATTTTTACATCATGGATGTTTCCCATTTTTGTTTCAGACTCTTGATTGTCCTTGACTTTGTTGATTGTATTTTTTATTCAAAACATTCCTTTTCTAAATAGTCATATTTATTAATTTTTCCTTATGACCATTATGTTTTATATTATATTTAGACCAAACCTTCTCCATGCCAAGACTACTCAAAAATTCAGTATATTATTCCACTACTTATATAATTTCATTTGTATATTTGTCTTTGTTCTACCTGTTTTATTTTTTATATGCAGAGAAAAATATAGATTTCCTTTCATTTTCTCTAAAAATTTATTTAAAAATTCCATTTTATCTAAAAAAATTCCTTTATCCCTATACTATTTATTGATTTTTTTTTCCTACTGATTTGGAGGGCTCCTTTCATTATAAACTAAATTTGTTTGCATGTGAGTCCATTTGTGGCCATCTACTTTTCCCATTCACCTGCCTATTTTTTGCACTGTAACTACTATTTTAATTAATGTAGCTTTAGAATACATTTTAAAATCTAATTACACTAATTTCCTTTTTTTTTTTTTTTTGGTACTAGGGATTGAACCCAGGGGTGCTTTACCAGAGAGCCATATACCTGGCCCTTTTTAATATTTTATTTAGAGACAGGGTCTCAATGAGTTGCTTAGGGCTCACTAAGTTGCTGAGGCTGGGTTTGAATCCTCCATCCTCCTGACTCAGTCTCCTGAACTGCTGGGATTATAGGTGTGTGCCACAGTGCCCAGCTCTAATTTCCTTTTATCATTCTGTTCTCATGTTTATATTTCCCAATGATCTGGACTTAACTTCTTATTTATAATTCAATCATATGCTTTGTGTGTACAGGCTTACAATAGCTGGTAAGAGAATTTATTTCCAGTATGACAGTGTAAATAATTTTGTTAATGGTGAGATTTTTCATCATATCTATTTTTTCTGATTTGTTCATATGTATTACAAGTCCTTCTCTGCTTCCCCCAAATAAACTTTTGACTGAAAACAACTTGACAATGTACCAGAGTTTATTCAACCACCATATGGAGCCTTCTAAAATGCATAAAAGCAGGCAATGCATATTGAAATTTAGAAAAACTATACTGTGCTAGATATAGATAAAGAACACTTTTGTTCATCATCTTATCCCAGAATCCCAGAAGTGTAGGGTTCCCAAATCAGTCTACGTTTACTGTTTTTTTTCTCCTCTACTCTAAGTATCTTTCATCTACATGCATAGTTCTAGATGCAATTTTTTGGCCTGGTGGAAAGGGAGGTTTGCCAAAAAGGCATTAAGGTTATGTTTGGAATCCTAGTGATTACCATCACTGTAGCCAAATTCTAATTCTTATATGGTTTCTCATAGGTTGTGTCTTCCTTCTACAGTCATTCCACTTATTGAAGTCCACAAGCATTCTGAAAGCCTCTTGAAACATCTGTGAGTCACAGGTAGGGGATTCAGAAGTGAAAAGGCAGAAAGTTTAGGAATCACAACTATAAAGAACCAACCAATGGCTTATTGGTAAGTTCTGTCCTTCCTCATCTTCATCTTTCCTGCCTCTACCCCCACCTAAGATTCAAAGCTAGAGTTCATCTCTATGGGACTTGCCAGAATTTCTCAGGCTCCTAATTTCTAACTCTCCATTCATCTTGAGGCTGCAGGTGAATGCTCTTTTATTTCAACTCACTTTAATTGAGTGCTATTCATTTTAACCACTGCCCACAGAAAAGATGGAGAAAGAGGAACTAACAGACTCCTGATGGAGTGGAATAAGATGTGGCTTTGCTTGGTTAATGTGATCATGAGCATAGTCACATAAACCAATCAAAGAGATAGCCATTGGTCTTGTGAAGTCTACTGTTTCCTGGATGAACTTCTGCCTGGATGGCTTAGATAAGATTCCCGAATGGACTAGAGATTGGACTAACTGATCTTTGTGTTGGGATATATATGATTTATGAAAAGTTAGTTGGTTGTGGGGGACCACCCCTGAGCTTTATTAAGCATCCTATCTCAGCCTTGAGCCAAGGGGTTGTTGGTTTGGCATTGCAGGCTGTTTGGGCTGCACCTTGCAGGTGGTCTCCACCTTCGCTTGCAAAGAAGTCTGCTTTCCCATATTTCTGGACCTGGGCATTACCCATTGTGGCTAGGTCAGCCCACACCCTGCCTTATTTGGTGAAGAACATTCTATCAAAACTCCTTTGTTCATTTCCCTATAAATAAATGGATTCTGGGTGCATGCTCTCTCTTTCCAGTGTGGAAGCTGACCTTTAAGGTCGTAGAGCTGTCCCGCCCTCGATTTGAAAAACTTACGTTTGTGTTGTGTGATTTGTCGTCACTTTCTTAGCTTAATGTTGCAGTCAGCTCTTTTAAACCCAGTTCCTCTTGTCTGCACCGGTCGTGGGCAAGAGTTGGTGATGGCTGAGCTGAATCTGAAATAAAATTCAAATAAAAACAAAGGGAGGAGAAAAAATGGAATGTCAGGTAGAGTATATGAGTTTGATAAGACATGGAGATATGATATAGCATATCATGAGCTACAAATAATTCACTACTATATTTTTTTGAGTATTAAATGCCAGGAAAGAAGTGGCAGGGATTAATGTGAAAGAAGTAGGAAGTGGCTGGGTCCTAGAGGTCCTGATATACCATGATCAAGAGCTTGGGGTTTGGGGGGCTGGGACTGTGGCTCAGTGGTGGAGCGCTTTCCTAGCACGTGTGAGGCACTGGGTTCCAACCTCAGCACCACCTAAAAATAAATAAAATAAAGATATTGTGTTGATTTGCAACTAAAAAGAATTTTTTTAAAAAGCTTCGGTTTTTGCCTATAAATATTTGAAGAATTTTTAAGAAGATGGATGATGTATGGCACATGGGATAGCCCAATTTTTAAATTTCATAACGATGAACTTACCAAAAAAGAATATGAGTCAACTTGGGGGCTGGGGTTGTGGCTCAGTGGTAGAGCACTTGCCTAGCATGTGTGAGGCACTGAGTTCAATTCTCAGCACCACATATAAATAAATAAGTTAAATAAAGGTTCATCAACAACTAAAAAAATTTAAAAGTAAATAAAGTTATTTTAAAAATCTTTAAAAAAAAGAATATGAGGCAATTTTGAAATTAGCCTAGTTAATGAGACTGGTGAGATTCTTGTCATTTATGTGCTAGAGGATCATCACACCTGTCATGGAATGACAAAAAGATATATCTACCTAGCTGCTTAAACTGGGTTATCACATAGTTGGCTTTATGTATCAGAAAGATCATCTTGGCAGCACTGCAGAAAATTGTTTTAAGGGTACTGAAACTGGAAGTAAGAAAATGTTGAAGTGTTACTGGAAACTGGGTGCGGTGGTGCACTCCTGTAATCCCTATGGCTCCGGAGGCTGAGGCAGGAAGATCAAGAATTCAAAGCCAGCCTCAGTAACTTAGTGAGTCCCTAAGCAATTAAAAGAGACCCTGTCTCTGAAACACAAAAAAGGGCTGCAGATGTGGCTCAGTGATTTTGTGCCCCAGGTTTAATCCCCGGCATACACACACACACACACACACACACACACTGGATTGTTTAGGTGAACGATGACTTTATTTGAACTAGGGGAATAGGCAGAGAAGACAAAACCAGCAGATTTGCTTGAAGAAAGTGTGATATAAAGTGGCAGGAATAAACATGCACCGCTCATAAAGGATTACAATTGAATAATTTCTGTGCTCTGAAATTCATCACTACTTCTTGTTGAGCTTATACTTCTTGAAGTCTAAAACAGGTCCATTCCTGGGCAATGTGGAACTACTCTGGTGAGCTACTTTAGCTCCAAGATGTTCAGACTTGCAGAAATTTCCCAGTACTGAACTGCAGTCTAAGATTCTTCATCCAACCTTCCTCTCTCCCTCCCTCCCTTCCTTCTATGATTCAAAAGAGTCAGAGCTGCATCATGGGCCAATGACACTCCTAGAAGACCCAGAATAAACTTAATGGTGGGTAAGCTTTTGGATTCTGGAGAAACAATAACTTGAATGAGAATACCAGTTCTAGGCATGTGAGTTCAAGCAGTAATTTAACTTCTTAAAAGTGACACTCTTGGGCTGGGAGAATAGCTGAGTGAAAAATCATTTGCCTAACACATGCAAGGCCCTGGGTTCGATCCCCAGAAACACACACACACACACATACACACAGTACCAGTCTTCATGTTTTAACATTGTGATAATTGTTGTGAGGAATATATTAATCAGATTTATAAAGTATTGAGCAAGGTATCTGACACTTAGTAAGTGTTGTTAAATGTTAGCCACTCTTATTATTAGATACGGGGAATGAAGGAGTGAAAGAAGTCAGGGATTATTCCTAAATGTCAGGCTATTTACAATATATAAAGTAATCACAAATACTCTATTCATCTTGTTCTCTATTTGCATATAGAATATATCCTTTTAAATATGAAAGAGATCAAAAATTTTCTTTTCCTTCTTGTACCTGAGTATCTTGACTTCTCCAGTTTCATAGTTAATAAACTGTTAATTTATACATCAAAATGAACACGGCTGGGGTTGTGGCTCTGTGGTACAGTGCCTACCTGGTATGTGTGAGGCACTGGATTCAATTCTCAGCACCACATATAAATAATAATATAAAGGTCCATTGACAACTTAAAAAAAAATGAACATACAATATTCCAGACTCTGGAGTTTAGAGGATGAGCTTTTACAGCATTATCCCACCTACACCTGTTCCTGGCAGGAGATAAAACATAAGAATATTCTGTTCTATGAAGAAAAACCCATTTTTAGAGCTCTGCAGCTATGCAGAAAGGAGAAAAGCTATGCAGCCCTCTAATGGACCCAAAAAACTAAGTGGGGAATTCTAAATTTAAACGTTTTTCATACATAGAGTTTTATTTAGAACAGTTTAGCTATTACATGAGATAGCAGGCATAAAGTGCACAGTGGCAAATGATCTTTCTTAAACACACTTGTACATTAAGACAGGCAAAAATTCAAACTGTGGACTAGAATATGGAGTTAAAACTAACAAAATGGAATGGAAAAGCAAAACATAAGCTTCTCAAACCAAATTTTTAGAAATTTATTGTATAAATCCAGGATGATGAAAATCTAGCTGAACAGCAGTTTTTGTGAAAAATACTATGGGTTTTAGGTTAGCCGCCAGTTTTGCAAGAGCCAACAGTACAATTTTAGCTTATAAAAAAATGAGTGCAATCTGAGGCTGCATAGTAGAAGTACAATATGCTAATAATGGGAAATTTCAGCTTCCTCATCTGCAAAATTAAGGGCTAGTTTAGATGATTTGCAAATCCCCTACAACTCAATATGATGCAATGACTTAAAAGTTCTAAACGTGAATCCCTGCATTTTATGAACATGACCATGCCAAAGATAGGTAGATTTAATGAAAACAGATAATTCATTTCTCTGGTTAACTTCATCACTTGAATTACCTTCAGAAAAACAAAAAAAAAAAAAAAGAAACTTTGTTTTTTGTATTGAACTGACCCATAGATGCCCTTCCCTAAATGAGTGTGATAATGGAACAACCTTGCTTATATCCATTTCATACCATGTCAAGCTTCACACAAAACTTCTTTTCTTGAAGTGACAAGCTTGAGAAACCAGTTTTTCCTGAGGTTTGCTCAATAAATATACTTATGATGAGCTGTACTGTCTGTCATTCTTCTATCTTGTCATAGCCTTGGAGGTCCTATCCTAAGCTGGCTATCTACTGTTAACATTGGCAATCAAAGATTTCAGAGGCAAATATTAAGGTCTAACACGGTGCCTTGTTGAAAAGAATTAGAAAGTGCTAGTACATAGGGTCCCTGTGAGGCTGTGTATACAAGGACTGATTGGGGATGTGGATCCAAGTTTTACCCACAGCACAGTGATGGTTTTGTGGGCAACCAGTGAGCTTTCCTACTCCATCATTGCTGTTACCATTCTCTTCTAGATCCCTAATTGGTATTTTCAGTCATTTAAGCATTTTTAGTGAAAAGGGCAATAAAAGAGATCAAACCTTGAGGAAAGCAAAGCTTCAATAAAAACAGAACTCCAGCTGGGCTCAGTGACACACACCTATAATCCCAGAAGCTTGGGAGGCTGAGACAGGAGGACTGCAAATTCAAGGGCAGCCTCAGCAACTTATCAAAACCCTTAGTAACTTATAGAGACCCTGTCTCAAAATAAAAAGATCTGGAAATGTGGCTCAGTTGTAAGTAAAGCACCTCTGAGTTCAATCCCCAATCCCCCAAAATCCCAAAACCAGAATTTCAAATATTTCATCCAGGATCTCTTTGTCTATCTAAGAGAGATTTGGAGAATGAATCAGAAGGCCAGAATCTCCTTGTGCTGCAACTAACCAGGTGTATGCCCTTGGGCAAACCACTCAGCAATCCTGGGCCTCTGTGTCCCCACTTGTAAAACGAGAAGGAACCCCACCTGGCTACTTTTAAGAGTATAGGAGCCTCTGTGGATTGCCCTGATTTGTGGAGGATGCCTGATTTAGGAATAGGTGATATAAAGAGCAGGAAAGGGTGATCTCTGTGAAATCAGTCAGAAGGAGAACTCTAGAACCTAGAGAGGAAAAATCAATAGGATAATGAGCAAGAACTGAAATGACAGGCCTACCAGATCCCATCTCAGGTAAATCCCTTTTAGATGTTGGCTGCATTGTTCTATGCCTCACTTTCTTATTTCTGTGATGTAGAAGAGGTGACAGAGCCAGGGATACTGGCCAATGTGTCATGTTCCCATTGCACTGTGGCGGGCGGGTGGGGGAGAGGACTTGTCCACAACTGACTGTTCTATTCTCTCTCCAGATTGGAAAGACATGGGAGCCAGGCGGCTACAGAATCCATGACTTCATAAGGACTCTTATCCCTCAGTATCACAGCCCCACCATCTTGAGCAAGTAGATAAAGAGCTTTAACAAAGAGGGGTGAGTCTAGGAGATGCTAAGTTAGTTGGGCTTTTGGAGGTTTTCGGGGGTCCATAGTTGTTTTTATTTTTGGAGGCAAGGCCCTCCTTTTTTTTTTTTTTTTTTGTGACGCTGAATATCAAACCCAGGGCCTCATGCATACTAGGCAAGTGCTCTACCACTTAGCTACCTCCCTAGCTTGCCTTTAGCTTTCTCTCTCTCTCTCTATTGTGGCAAAATATACATAACATTTATCATTTTGGCCATTTTTAAAAAGAGTGCAAATCAGTGGAGAAGCCTGCTTTGATGATTTAAGTTCTATTTCTGTGCTAATGTACTCTCTGCCTGGAAAGTTCCTGACCTGAAGGGTCAAACTGTAGGGTCCTATCTAGTTGAGTTTGGCTCCTGTAATATGGAAACACATAGGATATCAGAAACAGAACAGGAGATTATTCTGTTGCAGTTTTGCCTTTTTACTGGTAGATCTCATTTGCTGCAGTATCCCTTTCGTGCCTTGGCCCTGACCACTTGTCTTGACCTATGACTTGCTTTTGTTATCCTGCGTTTTTGTTCTGTGCTGACTACCAGATTATTGCAACTATTAACAATTTATTTTCCTTGAGATCTGAGTTTCTGATTCAGTGCATTCAGTGGTCCTTACGTAGATTTCTTTTTTTTCGGTTGAATGTGATAGACACCTTCTGTTCTCCATCCGAGCTCCAATGCCACAGTCCTGAATGTCTACTAGTCATTTCCTTGGGAATGAGCCAGTCATGGTTCTGCAATACAGGTTGCAACATATCTAAAAGAACCTTCATTTTTTTTTTTGCAACAAACCAGCTGCTTGGGTAACATCTCAGGCCCTGACAATAGTCCATTAAGTCATTTTAACAGAGTGTCGTGTCCACTATTTCCCTGATTCAATTTCCTGTCACTGGCTGAGGCCAGACCTAGACTTACGAAGTTCTTCCCTATTCCTGACTTCTTGCTTTTATCAGCCTGTCAAATTTTCCCCTATTTGATACCATACTCAAGTACCTTGTCAGCAGGTAGCTATGTTGTAATGGAAAGTTTAATGAGCTTGGAATTAGCAGAATTACTTCCACATCCCTGCAAAATGACCTTGGGTAATTCATTGACCCCTGGAGCCTTGTGTCCTCATTTGCAAAATGAAGGTAATGATACCTATGTCATAGGGACTTTTATGAGGATTTAATTAGATAATATGTATGGAGTCAATTTAGCATTGTGTCCAGAGATCACATTTGAGTTGACTCACTTGCTTGAAGTCCAGGCTTTTCCACTTACTATGTGACTTGGAGCAAGTTCCTTAACCTCTCTGGGCTTCATCTTTTCATCTGTAAATGGAGAAATGAACAGTAGATATGTGTACATATAGGCATGCATGTATGTGTGTGTATATATATGAATATATGTATATATACATAAACTACGACTGGCACAGTGTAAGCTTTAATAGGTGTAAGCTGTTAGCTATTATGTGGGAAGAGACCTAATATAGTTCTTTTTTTTTCATTATACATGTTCTCTTTTTTTCCATTAATACACATATATACCACAATTTTTCATATCTCTGTATATAAGGTATGTTGACACCCAATTCAAGTCTTCATACATGTACTTTGTATAATGATGACCATCACATTCCACCATCCTTACTAATCCCCTTCCCCCTCCCTTTCCCTCTCACCCCTCTTCCTTATCTAGAATTAATCTAATCCTTCCATGCTCTCCCTCCCCTAATATAGTTCTTAATGCCTACTCAGCACTTATTTGTCAGCTGATTTTGTTTATGAATTCATCCTATCCATTTGGTCTTATTTCCCACTTGTTCTTGCTTGCATATTCTCACCTCATCCTTCCCTGAGACAAATTGACCACCTTCATTCTCCATGTATACATCTTCCATTTTTCCTGCCTTTGATTATGGTATTCCTCATTTCTAGAATGTCATGATTTATCTTCCTTGCCTATGCAAACTCTTTCATTTCTTTAGGGTCCATCCTAAACCTTGTTTGTCTCCATGAAACTTTCCCTCCTCACTTCCGTACTCATCAACATCAATATCTTGATTTTCTGAGCCTAACTGGCTCAGATTTAGCATTTGATGCTATTATTCTGATAGATACCCCGAGCTACTGTTTCTTGTGTATTCATTGTGTTTTCAACTAGTTTGGAAAAAATTCCTCAGTCCAGCTTGTTTCAGATCAGACAGTAAACATATAGTGATTATTTAACCTACTAGGTCACATCATCTCTTGGGATCACACTCCCATGTCACATTTAAATTTGGAGAAAGGGACATGTACTTAGTAGTCTGAGGGGAGGGATCTAGAATTCTGAAATAATTTTTCACACCTAGAGTCTCTTTATTAATAGAGTGGCATGAGAGGTGGGCAGACACAGAGGGGTATGGGGATGAGTTCCTTCCATATAGAACAAAGTCCTATGGCCTCTTGGCCAAGGGGTTGAAGAAATGCTTAAGCAAACAAAGCCCTGCAGGTGAGGAACTGGAAGGTGACCATTGCTGACACAGACAAGAAAGTGTCCCCATTCAAATCTGGTTCTTGCTGTGACAGGCTTTTCTTTTAACTAGTTTCTCAAGCTCCTTATACCTTTACACAACATTTGCCCTATTGAGAAACTGGTTTTGCATGAAACTTCCCATGGCTTGAAGCAAGTAACCATGACGGTGTTTGCATACCATGGGGTTTTACCCTCCCAGTAAGTGCCAATAAATATGAAGTGGCATTCAGATGACGTGATATGAAGGATAGACTGTAGCCTGCAAAGCTGGGAATGCTTGAACTATGTGAAAGGTTCATACCAGGGTTTCACAATCACAGAAAAGTCCAAGAAAGACCAGTCCAGAATGCAAGGTGAAGAACATTGTCTTTGCCCCAGTTCTCACGGGTACTTCTACCTCCTTGATCTCCCCTTTCTTTGTCCTCCTGTAGTATGTGTTGTCTGGATGATTACACATTCCAGTCCTGCATTATATGCGGACTTTTAAAACTTGCTTTATGTGTTAGTTGTGTTCCTTAGCTAGTTACAAATTTCCTGAGAATACGTATTATAAGTATTGCTGTTTCCTGAGTCTCACAATAAAATTTAACTCAGTTTTGGGCACAATAAAATTCTTAGTAAATATTGATAGATGTACTTTTGGAAATTAAAATTCATAAGCAGTAGCCTCAAAAAGGAGAATTAGACAATGTTATTCTTTTTGAAAGAGGAGTATGGGAGTCCCATCATTTGTAGTGTTGTAAACAACAATAGCCTTCTTTCATAGAACAGGAAGTCAAGACAGTACAGATGAAACACATGGTTCCACGTGTTTCCCCTTGGGAGAGAAAGACATCCCATCTACTGCTTGAGACCCCTTCCTTGATTCCCCTTCCCCTCCCAACAAAAAAGGCCACACAATTACAGCTTGAGGAGCATCGGAGATTATCTGACTCAACTCTCATTTTGTAGATTAGGAAATAGGAAAGAACAGCTGGGGGTGGGGGAGAGAGTGTATGTGTGAGCTTTGGACCAGGTAGAACTGGAATGTCATCCCAGGGCTGCCACGTTTTAGCTGTGATTGTGGGAGAGAATCTTATCATCTCAGAGCCTCAATTTCCTCATCTGCACAGTGAGGATAACAATGCCTACCTATAAGGGTTGTTGTGAAAACAGTGAGATGATATGCACAAATTATAGTGCTTAGCTGTAATAGAGCTCAATACTTGCTCTCATTCTGTCTCTTGAGTGCCCTTCCAAAGTTATAAAACAGTTTAGTGCTAACCTGTCCTGTTTTTTTCTTTATATATATATTTTTTAGTTATAGATGGACACAATATCTTTATTTTTATGTGGTGCTGAGGATCGAACCCAGTGCCTCATGCATGCGAGGCAAGCGTTCTACCACTGAGCTACACCCCCAGCCCTAACCTGTCCTGTTTTTAAGCCAAAGTTTATTTATTCCTTACGTCTTTGTTATTTTTTATTGGTGTAAAAAAAGGTAAAAATTATCTTCATTGGAGATTTGGATAAATTTTTAAATTTTCCTTTGTTTTGAGACAGGGTCCCACTAAGTTGCCCAGGCTGGTTTCAACTTGCAATCCTCCTGCCTTAGCCTCCTCAGTGCCTGGGATTACAGGTGTGTGCCACCCTGTCCAGAAAGATTTGGATGTTTATTTTTAACAGATCTATATACATCAAGCTTAAAAAAAACTTAAAAGACATAAATACTGAATTTCAGGGTTAAATTCAAAAGGCATTGAATTTTTTTGCCCATTGCCAACTATAGTATTTAAATTCTTGGTACTTCTAAAATAGTATTCATGGCCTTTCACCCTTTAAAAAAATTCCTCTCTCTGATATATTTACATGCTTTGCTTGGCAACCTGATATTTTTCACCTGTCTTAGGATATGTTCTGCTGTTCATTAATCATCAGCTGGAGCTAAAATGAAAACACTGCTGCTGAGATTCTGTTAAAGAAATAAGAAACATATTAGTGAAGATCATGGTGGATTTATGGGGTAATCTCGGAAATGAAACGGGCATTTGTATCATTTATGAATATGAATGATTAATGATAAAGTTTTCTTTCCCATGCTAAAGATTTATTGGAGACATTTCTTTAAACAGCCATTGTGTTAGACTGCAAACATATATTTAAGCATAGGAATCAGATTAGATCAGAAGAAAATTTTTATGAAAGACCACTTAACAGTGATTATTATAATTATTGAATTGTGATCAACTATTCATCATAAATCAGGTCTTGTAGAGTGGAGGAACAAAGCAGAGGGAAACTTTCTTGGTGTTCTCTTTGTGGAGAGTGTGGTAACAGAATAATGGACTTCCAAAATGTTCATGTTCTAATCTTTAGAATCTGTGACTATGTTAGGTTACATGGCAAAGGGAGATTAAAGTTGCAGAGGGAATTAAGGTTGCTAATTAATAGATCTTCATGTAGAGTATTTTGGATTGTCCAGGTGGGCCTCAAATAATCACAAGGCTCCTTAGTATAAGATGAGGGAGATAGAAGAAAACCAGAGAGATGGTTGATGATGTGGTTAGAACTCAACCTACTATTCCTGAAGGTGGAAGAAGAGGTCATGAGCCAAGAAATGCTGGCAGCCTGTAGAAACTGGAAAGCATGATGAAATAGATTTTCCCTTACAGCCTTAAGAAAGAAATGTAGCTCTGCTGACACCTTGATTTTAGCCTACTAGGACCTACTTCTGACTTCTGAATCATAAAACTGTAAGATAATAAGTTTGTATTTTTTTTTCAGCCACTAAGTGTGGTAATTTGTTTAGAGCAGTGATAGAAAATGAATGCAAAGAGTCTCTCCAAACAAAAACTAACACAGAGGGTCTATCCAATCTCACCCTGGTAATAAATGCTATTTGACATTCTGGTATTTTACACAACATGGGCAACAAGGTTCCTAAGGTGACTGAGACTTAGGGAGAAGCTGAGAACCAAATTTATGCTAGCAAAATGATCAGTAGTCAGTAGAAAGTGCTTCTCCAGTTTGGTACTTTAATGAATGAAGAACAAATGGAAATATACTAATTGTCTCAAGGAGAGACAGGATTAATAACAATGATATATATATCTTATCCTGTGTTTTATAAAGGGTTTCATTTAAATAATCCATATAATCCTTCCATTAATACTATGAGGTAAGCTGGGCACAGTGGCTCATGCCTGTGATCACAGCAGCTCCAGAGGCTGATACAGGAGAATAGCAAGTTCAAAACCAGCCTCAGCAATGGCAAGGTGCTGAGCAATCCAGTGTGACCCTGTCTCTAAATAAAATACAAAATGGGGCTGTGGCTGTGGCTCAGTGCTAGAGTTCCCCTGAGTTCAATCCCTGGTACAAGAAAAAAATACTATGAGGAAGGGGCTGGGGTTGTAGCTCAGTAGTAAAGCGCTTACCTGGCATGTGTGAGGCATTGGATTCAGTTCTCAGCACCACATAAAAATAAATAAAGGAGGCAGAGCCCATCTGCCTGCCCCATACCACCATAACCCAGAGTTCCAGAGGAGAACCACCCCATACTGGGGTTCCTTATTCACCAAAGTGTGGCTGCACAGCCCAACATCAGGAAACATATAGGCTTAAGGCTGCCACCACCACAAAACTAGGATTTGCTGCTTCTATCAAGAGACAACAATAAAGACCTGGTAAGATGTTATCAAGGTCCCTATGGCCTGGCTACACCAGAGGTTTCTCTACTAGGGGTGCTAACAGGTATCCTGTTGCTGAGGTAACAGGGAGTCTTGCATAGGTTGCCTATCTCTTGTTTTTCCTACGAACAGCCAACTTCCTATGA